CAGGGAGATGTTCCACTCCCTTCATCAGCCTCAAAGGCTGGTTCTGTGTCACCAACAGGTGTTTGTGGCCCACGTTCCTGGTGGAAAACCTTGCCTTTTAATTTACAGCAAGCAGGGGCTTTTTGAAACTGGTTTGCCCTGCAGAGCCCAGAGGATCCCTTGCCAGTAGGCATTGCTGAAGTTTTATCACTTGGAAACTGCAGGACATACATGAAAGCCATCTCTGCAATAATGCTGGAAAGTAACTCCGAAGTTCAGAACGACACGGTTATTTTGTGTAAGATGCGCTCTGTGTGTATCTATTTATACAAGTGAAAGTTGCGGTCAGAGGCACAGAACTGGTACCACGGGCAGCACTGAGCAAGGGCACCCTGCAATGACTAGGCCTTGATGAAGGCAATTAATCAAGGTGCTTAAAGAGTGTCTCATACAAAGCAGCAATTTGGCAGAGAAGACTTGAGGTCTGTACAGGTAGTTAGACCTAAGGAAGGCAGGAGGTGATAAAGAAGAACCAAAATCAAGAACACTGACAGCTAAACTGGTCTTGGGCACCTGCCTGGATGTGTTGCTGTGTGGCCTGTCCCAGGTGACCCTGCTCTGGCAGGGGGGATGGATTAGATGATACCTAGAGGTCCCTTCTAACCCCTGACGTTTCATTATTCTATGGTTCTGTGAAGCTGCAGAAGTTGTGAGATTGTGTCCTATGGGGAGTGAGCAAAGAGGGCTCCTGCACAGGCTGCTGCAGGAATAGCGATTCCATCCCCGGAGCTCGCAGGAAGGGCAGAGCAGCAGGAGCAGGGAACAGGCCGGCACACCGAGGTGTGTGATGGGCCCCGTCTGGCCTCTTTTGCTCGTTCCTCGGCAACAGTTGCTAAAAAGCTAGGGAAATAGTGATCCTGTGCCTCCTTTATTAGAACACTTTTTTGTTCTATTACCTGTTGCAGTATTAGCAGAACAAATACATGCAAAACTTAAATCATGGAATTTTTTCAGGTTTTGCTTGACCGTAAACCTTTTCTGTTTGTTCCCTGTCAGGTTCTGGTTTGTTACATTAAAATAGTTTATGTATGTATGTAAGTGTTACAGTTAAAAGAGAGCAGGAGAAAAAAAAAACACACAACTGTAAAAGGAAAATTGGCTTCATTCTGGCTCAAACCAGGACATTAAGTGATGAAGAAAGCTTAAGTTATATTGTATCTCCTTCTCCAGCCCAGCTACAGCCACGTGTTTTCAGAATAACATCAACATAGTGGTATAAACTGCTGTAACGAGCACTTTCCTCCAGCAGGCTCCTCAGGAGATCCTTATTCTGCTGTTTAGAAGGCAGAAGCGTTTGAGCGTGATAAGTCTCGTGAGATAGGAGATAGTGCTGAATAATCATGAGTCAGCTTTTCTTGCAGTTAAGCAACTTCTTATCTGTCAGGTGGTGGCTCCTGTTTCATCAGTCCAGTGCTGCTCTGCCTAGTGGCTGAGTGACTTGCCAGAGTTTCTTTGAGATGATCTCTCTTCCTGGCATTTCCCAAAGCATGTGAACTTCCTTTCCTGGGAGATAACCAGCTTTAGAATGTGACGTTTTGCAGTGGGCTGGCCTGGTTTGCACCAGTACTTTCCGAGCTGTGTTCACTAAATTAGCTTTAGAAATTCTTTACTTCTTCAAGTTAGGTGTCTTACTTAAATGTGCAAGATTTTTTAAACACAGGTTTTAAAATTCTCTTTAAACTCTGAAAGAGCTGACCAGTTTGGAGGCAGCCAGGAGGCTTGTTCTGATGGGGGGTTGGTTGGTTTTGTTTTGACTAAGTTTCTAACTGTTGTGAAACTCAGTTTGCTGCCTGCCCTTCAGTAACTGTTTGTCCTTCCACCAGAATTAGCTTAGTGAAGTTCACTGTGTGTTCTTCTGTTCTGTACTGCCGTGTATGTATGTGAATTGGATTATATCACCATTTGAATGCGAAATAACTAGACTGTGTATTGAATTCAGAGTTTGAAGGAGTGCTGGTTTGTGTTTTGTGTTAGCAAAGTTCAGCACACTTTATCATAAACTGGGCTTTCTTTCCTATTCAGAGCTCATCTAAGTAGGCTTTCAGCTGTAGTTAGGAAAAGATGATGACAGCTTTGTCTTTTTTACCAGTAATACTGAGCTGAATCAAGTACCAAAAGCTGAAAACAAGGTGTGTATGACATTTTTCTCACAAAAGTATGTAAAACTCTTATCTTCCTGTTTGCGTTTCAGATTAATTCAAATGCCTCCCTAACTGTGTCTTTGGCACAGACTCCTTACTGCAAGAAGCACAGATACGATCCCCAGAATCCCCTGTGTGCCCACATAATCTTCTGTGGGAGTATTGTAAAGGTAAGCAGCTGAAAGTTGACAGAATTGTGTGCATCAAGTGGATGGAAAGGTTTTAATTTCTGTGCAGAAATATATGAAGATACATTACGTGCCATGAACTAGCCTTCATAGTTTGTGTGAGAGGAACGTGAAGCTGCTACTTGATACTTGCAGGTGCTAAGTTGGCATGTGTTTAGCAAAGAACTTGGGAAGACAATATTGTAATGAAGAAAATCTCCCACATTCCCCTAGATGTGTTTTGAAGCTAAGGAGTTTAATACGGTGCTTTTATGAGTGAAGTGTGAAGGCTTTTCCACTTCTTTTGCTCATTTAAATTCTTTGGTCCCTGCAGTGTGACATACGTGCTTTCAAAACTTTACTGAAGTCAAGATGAAGTCTCAGCTACAAAGTTACAGGTGTTAGAGACAGAAAAAGTGCATTGTATTGCCTGCTGGCAGTATTCTTCTCTGCACCAGTACTTTGGTGCCTTCTAGAAGAAATTTAGAACTTCATGTGTTATTCATTGCAGATCTTAATCCTGTTATTTAGGACAATGATTGAGGAGCAGGACTAATCATCATTACTGTCTCTTCTATGATAGTCTAAATTCTTATTTGGTGTTTTCACACCTCAGGTATTTTTGCATGCTGCACTCCAGCAATCCTTTAATTGCTGTCATGAGTTTCTCATCAGTAATAAATTGTTTCTTTTAATTAGTTCCTCTTGGACTGTACCCGGAAATCTTAACTTGTTGATTGAACCCTTGAACTATATGCACATGGAGTACTAAGTGTTGTCACACGTTTCAGCTTCCCTTGACTCCTAGATTCTATTGTATCATCCTGCTTGTGTGTCTGTGTGCTTGTGTGCATCTGGACACACGTGAATCAGGTTGTGGCTGTTTGAGTGAGCAGGTGCAGAGGACATAAAATAACTCCTAAAACATAGCATTGTAATAATTCATCAATAATCCATGCTTTCCTTTTTTGCCGTTTGTTGAAATATTTATTCCTATGTTGATGAAGTGCTTTATTGATCATGCTTATTTTAAAAGCACCCATTTGATTTCATATTAAAAAGCAGCTACCTTGGGGTTTTTGCCTGTCTCAGATAGAGTTGTATGCCACACTGGAGATGTGTGGACTCTGTAAAAAGTCCTTTGGGACAAGACATGGCTAAACTGAAAAAAAGCACGTTGCAGTCAGCAGTGGTTTCTTTAGCTAGAATTTCTCTTTGCATAGTTGTACCTTATTGTAATACTTTGCTGATTATTGTTTAGGTGAATGATTCAGAAGCAGGCATAGCAAAAAAGGCATTATTCAGTCGCCACCCTGAAATGGAAAGCTGGCCTAAGGATCATAACTGGTTCTTTGCCAAATTCAACATCACCAATATCTGGGTCCTGGACTACTTTGGTGGATTGAAAATTGTGACACCAGAAGAATATTACAGCGTCAAGCCTTAGTAAGTACTTCAATTTTGCATGCTTAACTCTCATCATATTTGGAACCTGTAAAACTTCCCATTATTAACAATATATATTGCCTGTTTCTGGCTTTTATATACATTTATTTCTCTTTAAGTAGTCTACTAGATGCAGTGTCTGAAATCATAAGATACATTTGAATAGAGGATGCACCTACTATTTAATCTCTAGAACTCTCTATGGTTTGCACTTGTACCTCATCTTAAATGCAATTTCTTGGGAGGAAGGACTCCAGTAGAGTGGGCACAGTCTCTGTTGTTTGAATTAATTGCAAGACAGATGATCTTTTGGTCTAATAGTTAAAAAAATAGGTAGACTTTTCATAATTTATGAAGTTGTATTAATGGAATCGCAGCAATGTTTCTTAATATTTTCAAAACAAAATTTCCTTTGAATCTATAATTACAATATGGAAATATAAATAAATTATGTTCTACTGTCTGCATTCAGCTAAGTCTAAAATTTTTAAATTATTTTACCACAGTCAACACTTAGACATTCAATTTTGCTTTTATTCTTACTCCTTATAGGTGGAAGAAGATCCTTGGTGATGCTGATACACAAATCAATTACCTTGGCTGTTTCATGAAAGATCTATTTTTTATATGTATTGTAGAGCTGAATTAATAATGAAAAAAAATCAAGCACCTTCCATTGTTAATAAGCTTGTCTAAAACTTCTGAAGCAAATGTAAATTCTCACTAACTAGGACAGATTGAATCAAGTCATACTCAAAAAACCTTTATGCATAAGCCATAACTAAATTTTATTTGCTGGATGTGATCCTGGAAGATGTCTGCATTCAGAAAGGCTGTTTTTACTGGAAACTGAAGGACTAGTCCAGTTCTAAACCTTTCGGTGCCTTAGTTAAATAATATCTATGCGTGATTTTTATTTTATTATTATTTTTTTAAATCTTATTTTATTACCAGTTTAGTTTGTATCTTTTTGGCAAAGTACTACATGATGGCTCAGCTGACTGTGGAATGGAAAGCACTGCTTGTATTGTGATGGTAAATGATGCTGAGTTCCCATATTCTGTTAGGAATTTTCTTTGCACTCTAATACACTCACTTGTTTGAGGCATTTTGCTGTTTTGCCACCTATATTGAATGTGCTATACAATAGGATTGTTTTTATGTAAATTCTTAATATATTTCATTAGTCTCCCTGGCAATGCAGGTGTTTGGAACTAGATGAACTTTAAGGTCCCTTCCAACCCAAACCATTCTATGATGCATTGCAAGTTCTTGGTAATTCTTCCTCTTGCAGAGGTTGTATGCCCTGACTCTTTAAAAGAAGCAGGGTGGTAATACCTAAAGTATCTGGCTTTTGTTTAAGACAAGAATAGTGGCTTGTAAATTCTATGAGAACACTGTAGAGGGCAAATGTTTTCTGATTAGGGTTCTGAAATGTTCTGCACTGTTGGTCTGATCAAAATGCAGCTTTTCTTACCTGCAACAGCAGAAGAGAGCAGATTTTTGGTTTTGGAAGCCTTACACAGCAACTTTGGGTTAGTAACCCAGAAGTGAGAAGGAAGCTAATAAAGTATGACACAATGATTCATGACTTGTAGAGAATGAAAACTAATGAAAGGTGTGTGTAACTAAGTTGCTGTTAAAATAAGCCACACACAACCACAACAAATAAATTAATACCTTTTTACATTGTCTCTCGTCTCCTACATGCTAAGTTCACAAATATCCAGAAGGGATTATAAACATTAAGTTCATTTTACAGTGAGCAAGTATTACCTGATTGACAGAGTAAAGAATGTGAGAATTTACACTCTGTAGAGGCAGATAAATATATAGGGAATTTCTCATACCAAATGTTGTTATTTAATAGATATCATCTTAATGTTATTATTGTATCACTACTTTTCTCAAATAGTGAAATGATTTGTGAAAGTTTTTTGGAAGTAACTTATTAAGTTTTCCTGCTCTGTAAGGGGAGGAGGAGGGAAAAGGGCACATATCATACACATTCTGTTGTACTATTTGAAAATTAATTTAGGATAAAAATACTTAAAATATGGAGAAAGTTGATGTTCAAAGATAACACTGACATGAGATATGAAATAGGGAAATATTTTTATATAAGGCATAATAATTGTGGAAACTCAAATGATCTTCTGGTATGGACTTGATCCTTTTCATGAAAACACCTGAATGCATTACATGTCACTTCTGATGTGTGAGACTGATTATGCTGGGCTTTTGTTAAAATTAAAATGTTTTTTGACAAGTGGTGTCAAGTGTGATGTCTCTTTCTCAGGCCATCTTTCACACAAGCTTCCTCTCTTCTGAGCTCTTGTTCTGCTGTCGCTCTGGAGTCTTTTATTCTTGCTAGAATAAATGGTGAAACACCTCTATAACACTTGGTTTTCCCTCATTGGATGAAATAAGCATCTTCATGTTTCTCTTTCTTGCATCCAATACTGTGAAATAGAACATAAAATGGGACATAAAACAGAGGAGTTTGTGTGAATGAATACAGGGAAGTCTTATTTTATTTCCTCTGTTTTGGGCTTCTGCATTTCTAAATGACTATCATCAGCAGGCAGGTCTTCAGCCACCACCAGGAAAACAGAGATCCATCATGTGTAATGGTTGAGAAGACAAATGTCATCACTCTGAATGTCCCTACTTCCTTCTTCCACCAGCTTTTATTCCTGTGCATGCCATATGGTCTGGAGTATTGCTGAGGTCAGCTGTCGTGGCTGTCTCTCCTCCTAACACCCTCAGTCTACTTGCTGGTGGGGCAGGGTGAGAAGCAGAAAAGGCCTTGGCAGTGTATAAGCAATGACTTAAACATGGTGTGTTTTCATCACAAATTCACAACACAGCCCCTAACAAGTGACTCTGAAAATAAAATAATTCCCAGCCAAAACTAGTTTAAAACCTTTAAATAAACACTTTCATTTGAGGGTTTGGTACAGAATAAAGCTTGTTTTGTGTCTGTTTGGTTGTCTTACTGGACTTGATGTTCCCATTTGTACCAATTCCCTTTTTTTTTTCTGATTGTGCTTTTTTGGTAGTTTATCTTACACAGATTTGTAATACTACTGCATTTTTTGGGAACATTTTTAGATTATCCAAATCTATCTCCATTTGAAAGGACTCAAGCCAGATGTTTCTTTTGGAAAGTGGTGAGCAAGAGAAGAGTTAAACTACATGTACAGAAGTGGATTTGAGGGTTAATCAGAGATTTTAACTATCTGGAGTTGTTACATCTCTGCATCTCACTGAACACTTCGGTAAAGAGACTTTTGTATGTAGCAATATAATGTAAGACAGACTAGGGTATCAATCATATTAAACATCTCTCTGTTTTTCTCCCTTATGTGTAAATTTTAATCAAAGCTCAAGAAAAAAAATAATCAATCAGCTCAATTTAAGCTCAAGAAAATCAGTTTTGTCCTGTTTTTCCTCACCTCCTTCCCTGTGTACTCACATTTGATTGCATTAGGCTCATCCAGGAATTCACTTGTGAGCAGTTTTCCTTTTTTCTTAATGTCCAGAATAATGTTGTGGCTTAGAACAGAAGAAACTTGAGTACAGCAAATAATACAGATGTAAACAACTAAAGACCATTTGTGTCCTCTACCATGGCATGCTTGATCTCTCTGAGCATATTCTAAATAGTAATGAAGTCACTCTCCATACCCAGGAAGTTGAGTATCTCCATTCATAGATAAGAATCTGAGCCAGAACCTCAGGCACTTCAATAAATCACAGGATGTTTGTTAGCTGGGAATCTAATTAGGATAATCTCAGCTGACAGAGATTGCATCTCTTAACAATATAATAATGTGTTTCCTTTCTCTACTGCTCTTGCTCATTGACATGTCTGTGTTTCTCCTTCTTGATTTTCAATCTCTTTCATGTGTTTTAATGCAAGACTGATGTCCAGTAGATGCCTGTGACTTACTGCATCATTGCAGAGTTTATGTATATCAGGTATTAGTTACATCCTCTATTCCATTCTATCTTCAATTAATGTTTTAGCTATTCAATAGTGTACCTGTGATCTTCACAATAAAATCTAGGTAGCTCAATCAGAGCATTAGATTAATACAAAAAAGTATTAATCATAACTTAATGGATTAATTTGTTTTCAACAAGCTTTTCCTGAGTAACCACACTGAATCTAAAGTAAAAATGACCTGTTCTATTATTGTTGAACACAAGAGGGTGCCATAGACTTAGATTCCGGTTCATTGTTAAATGTTCCATACTTAAAAGGGGTTATTGAATTCATCGTAGCTTAAAAATGCTAGAAAAGCATACGACAGGGGGCATGATAGGAACAAATTATTTTTCTACGGTGCTTTACATTATGAATGCTTTCCTCCATAAACACAGCAGCCTGCCAGCTGCAAAGAAGCAAGCATTTATCATTGTTTTGTGGTTTGTAATCATTTTGTGCTGTGAGTGCTCAGAAGTAATATCCATGAAAATGATTTAAAGGTTTTTAAATTAAGAAACTCTAGTAAAGGAAATGGAGACAGGTATAAAACACCTCTGCACATCGACTGGGAGCAGCCACCTCCAGACTCAACAGTGTTTATTTCTCTCAGTAGATACTAACAGTAACAAGCCAAAGTGAGGGTGTTCATTGGCGTGACAATGCTTGGGCTTGTTTTTAGCTGAACTAAACCACCTGATTCTGATTTGTAATTTCCAACAGCTAATTAATGTTGTTGGAGGCCAGCCCCAACTAGGTGCAGGTGTTTGGGTGGTGAGGCAGGGCTGGGCAAAACCTGCTTTGAACCCTCCCCTCTTTGATTAGGGGCTGTGGTGGAGCCCAAGCCCTTGCTGCTTGCCTGTTCTCACTGACTGGACCTCAAACCTGCCTCAACTGTGGTTGACCCTGCTTGCTGTCACCCTACCTGCTCTTTTTGTCTAGGTGCTATGGGACATTGTGTATTTTGGTGGTAAGGCCACTGTTCTGCTGCCCCTGCCAGCTCCCCTGCT